CAATGAATTTCAGGTTTTTAATACATTTTCTCTTGGTCGATGCTGTTGACTTCCCCTGCTGTGTTGGTGTTGTGGATAACAGTCGATTGCGTATAGGTTTTGTGGGATTTCTGAGTAACCGATCGCGTCATAGCGTTCTCGTTAATTGGTCAACTCAATTATTGATTGACAGGTTCGGCGCCGCTCGTTTGTCGTTGTGACAGAAGTACGCAAATGGCGAACTCGACAGAAATAATGCTATGTGCAAAGTCCCGCGCGCCCAGTAGTGCCACAGAAAGCGAAAACGGGACTGGGGCACAGATTGCCCTGCAATGCTTGAAAATTTGCTCGTCGACATTTCAATCCGTCATATATGAGCGTGCTCAGAGGTGCGTCCATAGGAGCACAGTCCTTAATAAACTTCCTGTAGTACGAGGAGAGGCCCGTGAAATGCTCAACTCCCAGTAAGCTATTTGGTGTGGGCCGGTCCTGGATTCCTCTAAACTTACCTATGTCCACCTCGACTCCAAAATGGGATCCATGTCCTAATAACTTAACCTTATCTTGAAGCAAGCGCCTTTTGCCGGCCTCTTGCTAAGTAATCGCTCAGGCAGAACTATCGGGCCTGGACAGGCAGATGACGTTGTAAGTTGGAAACTGATTCAGAAGTACGGAGTCGGCGCTTTCTAGAGCTGCAAGAGCATTCCATTGCATTGACAAACGACAAAACTTCCATAACACGCGCCCGAATATTTTTGTGGGAGTAAGCGACACAGATGCGTTGGCTGCCCTCGCCACAACCTACAGCTCGATTTCCGAATGGCTCAGGATTGCTGCAGTTAGTGCATTTTCGTTGGCGGCCTCCAATAGATAATAGCCTTCATTAACAATCACCTTGTCTGCTCTATGGCGTTCTCTCAAATTTCTTTACTGGCCGTCTGAATACTTCAGCCGGACATCAAACTCCACGGTCTCTCACCAAATTGCAACAGACTGCTGTGCAGAGATACAAAAATAATTCACCCTTGACAATTTAGTCACGTTTCCTTTGCCGTACTGCTTGATTCGGATAAACGGACATAACACTGCTTATCAACCCGCACGCCGCTAGTGGGCTCCACGCTCAGGTCATTAGACATTTTGAGTATTAACTTTATTCACCTACCAATTTTCCTTACTACCATTCTTACGTAGAGTTCGTAAGATAGCATTCATTAGTTCGTAAGAAATGTTTCATTTACATCCCTTCATAATGGTTTTGACTAGTCTTCAAAATAGGAAGGACGGAATCGTCACGGAAGAGATGGGATTATTAATACGCGTCTGGAAGAAATAAGCTGAAGGGACTGAATGTCGGGCAGGATAACGTACTAGGAGGCACATAAGTGGGTACGTGCTGGCCTGGCGATGGCCAAAGTGGAGGAATTAGGAGTCCACGAGAACGGCGGAGGCGTAAAAACAATATCCTCCGGTTCATGTCTCTGGAGGTTGGTTCTCGTCCGTATTTATATGACCTCAAGTGGATCCGCATAGGTTTACATCAAATAGGCCTGATATAACAACAAAGGTTAAATTATCAGGGAATGGGAAATGGCGTTAGCTGGTCAGAGTGATAAACTTGAATATTCATGTCAATGGAAACCCTGGGTTCTAACCTGACTAGCGAACTTCGCCAAAACCAGAAAAACTGTAATCAATCTGTACAACTGCTCTCCAAAACCCACTGTTTGTCCCTAATTCTTTAGAATGCATTATTAGTATTCGCCTGCCCGACTTCATGAATTTGGACAACTTGGGCAAAAAAGAATAATTGTAGTAGTTACGTGAAATATTTAGGTCGGTTCTATAGTAACGCTTACGGAGGTCCTTCAATGTGGCCTAACGCGCGGGCCTTGATTTGGTATGCCAGTAGTTAGTCTATATAATTAAAAGCTATTCATTTCCAGTTTAAAGCAAGCGTTGCTCCTTCATTTTGCTAGGCACTTTTAAATTCATTTTCTCTTAAATTTGAAATGCTCTGCATAACTGTAATCCCATTTATTTTCGAAGTATACGTTATAAGGTTATGGATCAGTATTGATCCATAACGGTATTTACTTAACTAAATATCAAATTTCCGATAGATTGTCAGCTTTTTAATTTAAAATTTAAATCCTAGATTCTCTCAAAACCAAAAAGTGTAACGGCTTAGAAACGTTCGTTAATAACGATTTTTCTTGCATTATATTTGCTTTTTTGTTTTTACTCACTTCGCAATGCCATCCTACCTATTTTACTTTTATTCATTTTCGTCGGTATTATTTTTTTGCTTCGGGTAATGACTTTGAAATCTTTCTTGGTCCAGGCAAATTATCATGGTACTTATACATTGCAGTACTGCAATGTATACGTATGATGGCCTTTTGAACACAGAAGACAGGCACTTTTAATCAGTCACTGGACAGCGTTTCCACTGTCCACTTCTGACCTGATCAAAACTTAAAACTTTTGGTTTTTTTTAATCTATCCGACACAAGTGGGATATTAACCATCATCAATCTGTGTGGTTAAGCATAACAGAGTAACCTATTTGAACGCAAGTCCTCCAGCTCTGTAGCATACGTCCTACTCAAATGCTTTTATGGTGGAGCCCCAATGTTTACAGTCCGGATTTGCAGTATCACCAGCTAAAACACTTACTAAGCTGAATATCTTAATTTCATTTCGTTCAGTTTTTGTTTGTAACAGTTCGTCCTTAGTGCATACTGCGTGACCTCTACGGCAGAGCTCAAGGGTTCTTCCACTGAACAATTTTTATCTTAATAGTGCAAAAATACAGATGGTCATTGCAAGTCGTATAATTTGGTGTCTAAGCTCTTATCGTTTGCGCAAACTCGATTCTTCGTCAGCCTCAGGAGATTGTTTTAATTGACCGAGAAGCTGGAGAAATTGAGTGGCATTCAGACTGACTATATAAACGCGACGCCAAGGGCAAACACATACTCCTTACACGCAATACGGGTTTCTTACCTTCATGGCTTTCCTGTACAGATTAAAAATCAACGAGGCGCAGGGAAAGATAAGGCAGGCTGGTACCTAGTGACAGTTCGACCGTCGTGTCTGTCAATGTCCACTATGCATTTCACAGTGAGGTGAGAGCAAGGATGAAGGCTTGCAAGTGATTTTTTGCGGTGACAGTAGACTTGCGCTGAACCTATCGCACTCATCTCTCCTCCCCTAATGGATTCAATTTCAAGACAGAATCAAGAAGACCGGAGATTTGGGAGGCCATAGGGGACGGGCAAATCGAAATCCCACATTTAGGCTTACCAGCACACCCCCTGATCCCAAGTGTACAGTGACCATAAGTGTATGTAACAAAAAGGTTGACTGCTCAGACTCTAATAGGCGCAACACGAGACTGCATCTGGTCCCGCCGCCACACCCTGAAGTTTGAAATTGGTTACGGGTGCGGACCCAAAATACCTCTAGTTCCCCATGTTGGTCCAGCGTATTTACCGCGTGACCCTTTAGGGGGTGCGTAGCAGGCACTATGATACAGTCTTGTACGCCCAGTTGAACTAAATTCTTATGGTAGTATGCTCTTGGTGGAGGCTTAAAATTAGAGTGACGATTATGTTCTTCAGTCTGCTTTGAATGCAGGATCCAGCAAGGATGTAACCTTTGCCGTATATATCTGTTCTAAAACATCCACATGGTGGAGAGTCAGGAGAGGGATGATTAATGTCACCCTCCAAGGAAGCTTATATTTTTATATGAATTTACCAAAATTGACATAACTACTGCACCGGACTAGATAGGTCCCCTAACTTAGAACCCCACAGGCATTTAAGAAGAAGCAGTCAAATTTAAGTGGTATATCAAAATTATGTTTCTGATTTTAGCGTATTAGCAGTAATTTTGTGAACCAGTATCAGAGTGTTTATTAAACAGACTTTAAAGCTTTCGAAAGTCTCAATATATCAATGGTTGTTCCGTTTTTGCCAAAAACAACCTGGTATGTCCCATGAATAAAAATTCATAGATTCTTAAAAAGACACAATAGGTGAACTCACTTAGGAATAAGATAGTGGGAATTATTTGTCTCCGCCCTCATCCGTATTTATTCACTCACTTTTATTACCAGTGTGTAATAAAGGCACTCAAACAAACGGGGGTGTCTCAACAAAAACTGCGTCTGATATGAAGAAGGGAAGGAGTACAAATTCGGGCTTGTCTACTATTTTCAAGAAGTGATAGCCACTCATCAGTAGGTTAACTGTAGTCTTGAGCGATGAGCTCACGCATCTGTATTGCTACCGAGATAATTCAAGGCCAGCTGGAAATGGAGCTCACCAATCTCTTCAAATAAGAGGACAGCATATGAGTATACAACTTGGTCTCCGGTCTCCCGAGGCGTGGCATCATCACTCACTAGTAAACAATGTCATTTACATGACTCCGGTCATTTAGCTTACTAGGTAAATCTGTATTCCCCTGCAAGGTTTTGACTGTATCATCGGGTCGCAAAATAAACTTAATTTTTCTCCTTCCTTGGGATGATATCGTCCCTTTTTAGATTTGCTAATAAATTGCCCTGGCAAATTGAACGTACCCCAAACTAACCACTGACTAGGGGTGAGGTTTTGCAAATGCCACTTATTTGGGAGAGACTTTCGGCTGCTCGAGAACACTTGCGGTCTTGAATCTGCATGCCTTCTATTATCTCTTCATGCGAGTTAGTAGTATGACTCCGGGACTACAAGATAATCTTTCCTGTGGCCCAGTGAATACAGCAACGTCTTGCTACTGATCCGTCTTGCTAATTCTTTGTTGGAAATACCTACTGACTAATGTCCAAGTGTTAATCACTCTAAATAAACCAAAAAGTCGGGAGACCCTCAAGAACTCTCCCACTACTAGAACATCGTCAAGACCCTTTTTGTTCATCTACATTTTTAGAGATCCTCCCAGACTCCCCGTTCTCATTATCTTCCCCTGTCTCCTAGAGGTTGTCATAATCCTGAACTGTTGTGGGAAAAATGGCATCGGAGGAAACCGCAGCAGCGTCCTCCGACATGAACGCGGATGGTACAGCAGAGAATACGGAAAAGGTTACGGACACGCAAACCACGGTCGCCTCTGAGGTACCCAGTGATGCCCCGGCTCCCCTTGAGGACGGAGCTGTGCCTGAGGTCAATGACGCGGACGCGGATGGTGGTGATGACGGTGGCGGTGAAGGCGAGGAGGGAGAGGAGAATGCCGAGGGAAAGCCAGCCACCGAGACTGCACCTGCTCCACCGCCCCCGCCTCCTCTCTCAAAGGAGGAGACTGCCAGGTTGGTACTTTTGAAGCAGCAGATTGACGAAATGAGTCCTCTCTACCTGCCACATGAATACAAGATGCTGCCTGAAAGCTTCGATCCGGAGAGTTTTCCACGCTCCTACAAGGAGAATACCGATCGGGAGATTAAATTGCTTTTGTATGCGGACAATTTTCGCCGTCAGTATGCCTACCTTTATCGAGACCGCACGCGCCTCCTACTGACACCCCAGAACGAATGTGGCGTGCGAAAATTTGTCTGTACCACTATTCGACCAACAAAGCTGCCCTACGCAGAGCTCTACGACTGGAACGGAGCGGCCGCCTTTGTGGCTGACTTTCTTGACTACGTGCCCCTGGTACCCTCCACCGAATTGCCGACTCGTCTGCTAAGTCCCTCAACGGCCCTTACCATTCAGATGGGCACTTGCTTTGAATACACCACCATCCTCTGCTCCATGCTAATAGGCGTAGGCTACGATGCCTACGTAGTCAGCGGTTACGCCACGCGGGAGTGCTGCTATGCTGATGAGTCACGTAAGACCTGTCCCATGCTAGTCGAAGAACCACCGCCTCCACCGAAGATTGAGGAGAAGATAATAAAGAAGTACCAGGTGAAGCCCATAAAGGACTTCAACTCGCGCTTTGAACTCAGTATGGAAGTACAGAAGACGCTAGATGATAAGAAGGCCGCAGAAGAGGAGGCAGCTCGCGCGAAGGCGGCCCTGATCAAAAAGGAGGAACCCCTGCCGGATCCGCTTTATGGCCTCCGCGTGCATTCCTGGATCTTGATCCTGCCGGGACGCAGAGATGTGACGACGCCCTTTTTCATTGAACCTCTTACCGGTCTTGGGGTGGACATCAAGACAAAGATGTACTTGGGTATTGAGAGCGTGTGGAACAATATGAACTACTGGGTAAACATGCAGGACTGCTCCAACGGCATTCAGGAGATGCGCTATAATCTGCACCATCTTTCTGACTGGGAGTACATGCTGCCTTCGGGAGTGCTCAATGAGCTTCTGATGCCGCATGACACTGAACTTGTGGGTATCACAAAACAGGGTCTGGACATCAGCGAAAAGCTCAAGAAATTCACTACCCACTTGGATTACGGTTTCGAACCGGCAACAGATAAGGACGACGATGGCAAGCAGGGAGCAACTGGAAATGGAACGGCGACTATGGATAATGAACCCGCGGCAGTCAAGTCCAAGGCTGGTCTTTATGACAAGCTGCTCCTGGTCGACCTGCCTTTGTCTTGGACCCTACCCATTGTCCTCTCCAAGGCGGACTATGACATGCGCTACCCTAATCACACCAAAATGATTGTCTACAATCGGGCCAAGTTGCAGAAGTACTCACCCTACTCTCAGCCCAACGGTCTTGTCTCCCTTCTGACCATTTATGAGGATCGAGAATTACAGCAACCTCTAGAAACGAGGGAGGGCTTTGCCTGGCGACGAGATAAACTCCTCGAGCGGATCACTGACCTCGGCACCTCCTGGGTGACGGAGAAGTTTGACCACGGCCGGATGTCTGATCAGCTGAAGGAACACGGCTACCGGTCGACTGCAACTGGGCCCGAAGCAAAACGCTACATGGTTTTCTACGAGAAGGTCCGTGTGGACGGTCTGATGAAACGAGAGCGAGTATCGAATGAACTGAAGGAATGGTACTGTAATAGGCACGATCGCCTTGTCTACCGGGAGACAAAATACGGCAGGACTGTTAAAAAGTTTGGGCCGCCCATGACTGGAGGGTCGGGTGGGGCAGGGGGCAAGGTAGCTTTGCTCACTAGCTCACACGCCGCCATTGACGTAATTACAGAGCGTTTTGATCGGAATCCCAACGTGCCGGCGGATGAGGATGTCGCCGAGCGTGTATTCAACATTGCCGGTAATCGTTACATTCTGACATACCACATTGCCGATGATAAGATCTTCCCCTGCACTCGGGAGTTTATTAAGCCACCCTCGACCAATGACCGTCGACAAGTTGTTGAGCTTCACTCAGACACACACAGCACTTTCCAGGTAAAAGACGGGCTTGGAATATACGCATATACTTTTGTTACTAAATAACAATAAGTAACCATATACCTTTTGAATTTTTGCATCGAGGTTGACCCTAACAGCAAGCCCAAGACCAATGTTGCCATATACAACATGTTGCTTGACCTCATGGCCCTGGAAGAACAGGCTAAAGAAACGGTCCGACGTTCTGAAAAAGAGGTTCAGGCGATCCTGTCATTGAGGGACAGTGAAGAGGCGAAACCCAAATTGGATATTGGACTGTTTGACACCTTACGCAATAAGGAAATGCACGATCTGCGTATTGCTCTGGAGGAAGCCGCGGAGAACGAGCGAAGGCGCCAGAAGGAGAAGGAGCTCGACTACCTAGCACCATATCTCGAAATGAAGGACGCCATATTAAACGATCTGACTCGCGAACAGGCCTTCTCCGTTCGTGAGGCCTGTCTGCAGGACCTGAAGGAGCGACTCATCAAGAAGGCGAACATTATTCAGGTTCGTTTTGAGGGTGAAGTACAGGCCCTGCAACAGAAGCAACAGTGGTTCCAACTGAATCAGATCAACCTCACCAAGGACGACGAACAGGCCTATCTGCAGTACTGCAACGATGCCATCTTCCGCATCACCACACTGGAGACGATGCTGATGCGACACAAGCAGACAGCGCCCCAGAAGTACATGATGCTGGAGAAGAGATTGCGTTCGGACCCACGGTTAGCCGAATTCCTTCAAAATGGTTGAGGCTTTGTGTGTGTGTGTGCGTGTGTGCTTCATGCCTTATAGATGCGTTTTTGCACTAGACTTGGTTCATGTATCGTTTGTAAAGAATTATGAAATGCTTTATATTACTATGTTCTTCGCTTAACTGTACAAGAAAAATGAAATTACCGTATATCATAAAACTTTTGATTAGATTCCAAGCGAACAAGGAAACAAAGTCAGCAGTTTTTTTCTTGTCGATATGTTCTGACTTTTATTTAAATGGTCCCAGGCTGCGGGATGGTGATATATTTTGCGGAAAACCGTTTACATGCTGGGAATATGTCATGATGGCTTTACTATACACCAGAATAAATATTTGCTTAAAGTCCAAATAAGTAATTCACCAGAGCTGAATGCCTGTATAAAGCAGCCTTCCACACGGGGTTATTGTGCGTACTCCAGGTTTAGAAATTCGATTTTTATAATTTCATTGGAAAGTAATCGAACAGTACTAGGATTTTTCTAGCAAAAATTTGGAGCGCATTGCAGAAACCGAGTAAATCAACTGGGGGATTCCCTGATCATTAGGAACATGCTCATCGAATAACTGCGGAAAACTCGAGCCTGGTCCCGTTCAGATCATTTGCCAACCGAGAAGCATTACGAACAAAAGCGGTGCGGGCGTCGCGAGGACTATTTCTAGTCAATTTATCATCACCAGTCGATCGGTCATGCTTCCGCCACCGGCGGGAAGTCTGGAGTTTAACCATACGGAGGAGGCTTACTGCAATCCTGCGCCCCCGGCGTGCGCGCGCGCTCGCACGTGCATACCAGCGGCGGCTCGACCTTCGGCCAATCATAGCTCTCGAAACTGCCCAATCAACTTTCAGGCTGACGCAGACATGACCCAGCTCAAGACGCACTGACGCCTACAGCAACGATGCCGTGCGTGCACCTCGTGACCGGCTGCCAACCTGCTCCAACCTATTCTCCATTCATTTCGTACAGAACACGGTGCTCTCTCTCTCCCTCTCCTTCTCTCTCTGCAGCGACTAATTTCTCCTCTTCCTCTCGGGAACTGACTTGAAGGTCTGCCCATGGTTTAGCTATTACGGAAGACCAACCCGACAGTTTCGCCTGCTTTGTAAGCCATCCTTAGCCGACAAGTGGCCCCATTCATCACTGAAGCGTCCATCAAACATGCCAATCAATATCTGCCCTCTCAGTGCTTGAGAGACTAGGAATTTGAAATTTGCGAGGGAAAACTGATTATCGGTGACAGATAGTGTGCTTACCGCACCGCTGCAGGAGCGGGTAATGTTCGTGTCGGAAGACGGAATCTCGGCAGAACACAGAGATGACTGAGGTCAGTTCACATAATATCAGGCGCCATCACACTCCCAGTCTTGTGTTTTGTTTCTTGGAGTGTCCTCAAACCCCTCCCGACGTACATTTCAGTTGGTCTTATCTCTCCCCCCCCTCCCCTCATAAGTAAACGGTGCCATCCGATTATGCAAACACGGCCTAACTGAGGCTTCCCACTACAGACAACGGGAACTTCAGTTGCCATTTCTGGCTCACACCCAGTCATTGTTTAGAGATTCTGCTGACATATGTTATAGATGTTGCACTAGCCAAGAACTGAAGCACACAAGGGAAGTGTCATTCTCATCCTTCTCTTCACTCCTATATAATTTCCTGTCATCAGACCATGCGGGCTCGAGATTCTAACTCCTGTCAGCTGGTCGATCAGCATCTGCGCCAAACACGCTCTACAAGTTGAAATATAGACCTGTCAAAGTATAATAGTTGATAGCTCCCAATTCGAAAGTTAGGGAAGGCGGAATTACTGAGGCTAGAAGGCGTACGTGTCCTCCAAACGGGCCACGTGGTAGATGCGCTGACCCAACACGGGGGCCATATCGGATTCTGGCAGGCGTTATCGGATTTGTGCAGCATAACAAATGCCAACATTTCGGGTAGGTTCGGTGGCAGATCCGGTTGTCAGTAGACTTCATGCACTCTGGGAACCCTGCCCGCCCAATATTGTTGTTGGTCAAAAACCAGGTCATTTGCTGTGTCGACCAGGGGGTGCGGAGGGTAACGCCAAGGTGTGGGCTCGACCGTGCCATCCACACGCGCCCTCCCCGCCTGCGGTCTTCTTGGCTCTGTCTTGACACGGGGTCCAGGTGGGGGAGGAGGAGAGAGTGCGGTAGATGCAGTACAAATACACTATCACTACAAAGTAATTTTTTGCACAAGTCACCGTCCCTACTCCCGCCCTGCTGTGGAGCATACGGTGGACATCATAGGAGGCGACGGCCGAACTATCGAGAAGGCGTACACGCAGATTAGCAGGCAGCGGCAGTAAGTAGTCTCTTCAGGCGTGTGACAGACGTTAAGGTTTGTGGCCCCGGCGCGGGGCGTATGCGTACGCCTAAACCTTGTCTGCCTGCAACCAATCAGCGAGGAGTGCACTGCTGATTGACGCCAGGCTTTCGCCACGGCATGACCAAGTCACGCACGTCTCAGGCAATCGATTGACGGTGTGCATTAGACAGACCGAAGACGGCATGCGTGCGCGGCCGCACTGGTGATCGCGGAGAACAAACTGCCTACGGTGGACATCCCAGTGTTGGAACTAAAAAAACTGATGCCGGCCACAGACGTCTGTCACCTAGTGTGCGCAGACGGCCTACCTAATTTGGCTTCTAACAGACTTTATGTCCACCAATATAACAGTACTGTTATTGCCTCCATGATTTTGGGTAGAAAAGCCATCAAAATCTTGCGGTGAGGTGCCCGAATGCCCACCGTACACTTTTCAGGGGATTTTTGACATTTCCATGAGATGACTGCTTTTTTACTATCTTATAAGCGTTCTTGGCTGTCACTGGCTCATTTGCAAAAAAATTGTGACAGTGGAGGCGGGGGACTTCTGTAAAACGGGCGTTCTAACCATCTGAGCTACGGGGCGCCGTCCGAGAGCCTTGAGTTTTTCGCACTCAACCAATTGATACCTAGCAATTTACCTTGTCTGATAGTCATCTGGTGAATTCCACATTAAAGCAGTCGTAGACAGCAGAACTTATTGGAATCAGCAAATTTCGCGACGGCCTATCAACTGCGACCTGTCGTTGCATAAAGACAGATAACAAGTGAGAAAGATAGAGAGGTTTGAAATTCCAAAGATAAAACCAATGTAAAGCAGCAAGGCCATCGTATACTGCACGTAGACTAATCAATAAAATGGTAACTTCAAAACGCAACATAGGAAAGAAGATGGGGAAGTTAACACGCCGAGGGATTGCGCAAATCAAAAGGGCTCAGATCTACCAGGGGAAGCTGAGGTTGACCATGTGGTCTAACTGTTTACATAGGTCGGGTTTCTCCCGCCGTATGTAGACTGCCTCCAAGGAGCGCAATACCCGAGTTGTTCGTACCCAAACAAGTACTCGGAAGGATGCTTTGGGGTCAACGGAGCGACCGCTATCTAGGAGGTGTTTCGTGATAAAAGAACGAGGAATTTTATTTTCCTGCTTTAGAAACCATTTAGGCAGTTGCTCAACTGACCTGGCTGCCAAGTGCCTTTGCGTTCGCCTGATGTACTTGTAGCCAAAAGTACATGTGAATGCGTAAACACAATTTGAAGTGGCGTGCAATGGCTAGGCATTCTTTGCCCCTAGAAGTGGAATAGCTGCAGTGGAACTGCCGAATATCGGTTCGGATGTGTTGTATGTTCTTGAGATGGCGCATCTCAATCGTCAAATTGTAGTATTTGAAATGCTGTCACCCTTACACGTAAGGGTAGCCTCGACACGGGATGCACGCCTGCGCCTGGGCCTTGTTCGCCTTCAGCCAATCAGCGAGGAAAGCAGCGTGGATTGACGTCAGGCCTTTGCCACGGCATGACCAAGTCAAGTGCGGCTCAAGCAATCGATTAACATGGGGGGCGCTAGGCGGACTGAAGGCGGCATGGGCGAACAGCTGCGCTGGCGATCGTGAAGAGAAAACCGTCTTCAGTGGGCATCCCACTATGGGAACTAGAAAAACTGACGCCGGCCATAGACTTCTGTCACCTAATGTTCGCAGACGGCCTACCTACTTTGGCTACTATCAGACTGCTCGGTTCATTAGCACGGTGACAGTTCGCGGGGTCCAACGTTTAGTAGCGAACAGGATAGTATAGTAACCCCTAGTCGGAAGGCTGAGGCCGAGATGGGGAAGATCAGTGGGTAATAGAGACTGTTCGTTAAAGACGCAGTCTAGTGTGTGAGTTCCGCGTGCCTCCAGACGATTGGCAAGGTAAAGTCATAGGCGCCGTGACCCTCGTGACTGCAAGATACGCGGCACGTCTATGGAAAGACTGATGTGTGTGGCCAGCAGAAGTCAAATTTGCTGCTGCTGCTGCTGCTGCTGCTGCTGCTGCTACTACTACTACTATTGCGGTGTTGGGAGATCTGAGGAGAAGGACAGCCAATCGGATAGAGGCTTTTCAATAGGAGCGACCTGTGTTCCCAAGCAAGTTCACGGAACGCCTTTCTTGGCCATACGGGTTTTGCTAAGTGTTTCACAGAAAGTAGGGTTTCTGGTGAAGAGACAGATTCGTGGTCTATTGCCAACCTAGAAGCAATGAAGTCGTCCAAGAAGATGCGTGCGTCTGGGCCCTGTCCGTCCGCAGCCAATCAACGAGAGATGCGGCGTTGATTGACTCTAACCTTTTGCCACATCGATGCCAAGTCACACGCGGAGCGAGCCAACTATTGGCAGGTGTTGTGCGAACTGAAGGTGACGTGGATGATCGGCCTTGTTGGCGACCACGGGAACAGAGTTTGACGGGGCCCCGTCTGCGATTGGATATACCTCGACAGCTCAGCCATTTTTACCAACTATGTTCACAGCATGATGAACGCTGGGATGGTGGCTTGAAAGCGAATTGGCTTATATTGATAGAAGACTTGCCCTGCATCTGTACGCCCTCTCTTCTCTCATTACCCTGGACCCGGTGCCAAGATAGAGTCACCGGTAACAATCGGGAG